CCACACATTAAAGACCGAAACGTAGGCACAAGTGACAGGTCCACGTTTTCGCGACAAGTGGCCCAAAGTGTGGCCCTGCCGTGATTTCAGGCACCTACGCGGGCACGAGTGACACGCGATGCGCGGGCACAAGTGACACGGGTTACGCGGGCACAGGTGACAGGTCTACCGCGATGAAGGGTCTGGGGGGTTGCTGCAGACAGCAGCCATGAATGAAGACTGCAGTTCCGAAAGAGAAACCCGAATATAGACCACCAAGCAACAAGCAATCTTAACCAGAATCGTGATGAAACTAGCGCCCAGTGTAGACACTGAAGAACGACCGAAATACTAGCCTGAGGCCCTAATCGCGACTGGGCTCTTCGTTCTCGTTTCAGGCACAGATCAAGAAGACACTTATCCTCAAGGCCAGTTCAGTCACACTGCCCCCCTTGCAAAACGAGTCACCTCCCTACCCGAAAGCGGGCAGGATGCAACGCGGGGCGCAGGCCTCACCGGGTGGGTGGCGCGGCCTGCAAGACGCCGGTAGCGCACCGCCCCCGGTGAAGGAGCTTAATTCCTGTAGTTGGAATTGGACTAAACATCTGCCAGCTCTGACTGCCTCCCGAAGCTTCAGGTGGGAAGTCAGAACGATGTGACAGATGAGCTTGCCGGCAGGACCCTCTTCATCGGGGCCACCCAGCATTAATTCGCCAGATCGAACATGCAGTTCATAGCGACTCTCTGCCCGTGGCCTTTAAGTAATGCACGCACAGGAGATGGAGGGCTTCCGAGAAATCGGGGTCCATTCTGAAGGGAGTCGTAGCAAGCAAGCAAACTACCCCTTAAGACATGAAGATGACAAATGAACACAGGATCCCCATTCTCGGAACTCACATGTCGTTCTGATTGAAGCTCAGTCACTGAGCAATCAATTGGCCAGGCAGCATGGTTCGCGCTTAAACGCCTTGCCACCCAGCAGAGCAAAGAACAGTATACAATAGGTAGAGCCCTCAAATCCAAGAACTGTTGCTTTCGAGAGGGCTCGACCCAAAACTATACATCCATAAAGCGAAGATCGACGTCACATGGGGAACGTCGTCCATCATTACGGCCCACCAAAACCACAAGCAACAACTTGGATGGGATTATCTCATATAAACTCGCTTATGATTAAGCGGTGTGGACATCCCTTAAAAATGCTCATGTGTCAGTCCAATTGAGGATCATAGCAGCAAGGGGGGGAGCATCTGCACGCGCTTGAAGCAGCTATATCCGGGCAAAACTCCGGAAGAAACGGCTTCGATCGATTTGGTCCAAACCTCCAGGTGCCGGACAAGAAGAGATCGAGCATCACGGTTTTAGATTTACGGGTTTAGGAGTTTAGGGGTTTAGTGTTTAGGGTTTAGTTGCAAGGCTCCTGGATGAAGGAACCCGCATCTTTAAGAACTTCCCTTTTTCAGAAACTTGTGTATCTTACAACCCCCTACAGAAAGCCTTGGACAAATCTGCAATACCATCACTAATACCCCGAAGCCCTAAAAAACCTTTAGACTCCAAACCCTGCACCTCGCACCGGCCGGTTGTGAACTCGAAGCCGGAGCAAACAGGACGAGACGCTATGCACCTCAAAGGGGCGGTTCGAAGTTCGCATCCGAAGAACTCCGGACTGTCTACGACTGCTTTATGAAGGTACTGTGAGGGCCCTACAAGGGTCTAGGATTCTCGAGCCACGGTTAGTGTTTGGCGACCAGGGTTTAGGGCTTAGAGGTTGGCAGCTGGCATGTAGGATTCATGATATCACCCCCGCCTTGCTTTACATTCCTCGAAGGAGATTCGCCAGTGGACAACATAGTTGCTATCGCTGTTGTCCCCGGGATGATAGCCGCGGCAGGCTCGGTCACCGCCACCCATCAGCTGAAAGCTTCCCACCCATCCAAAGCGCATGCAAGTAAAGCCACTGACGCTCTTGGTGAGAAAGATCCCTTCCGGCCTGTGCAAGGCTTCGAGTTTAGGGGAGGACCATAAGCCGACCCTATACATAGAGAGGCATCCAGGTTTGAGAGTCGCCGGGATTTTGATTGAGCAACTCGGGTTGTAAGTAGGATTACGGGTTGGGCTAAGTGGGTTAGCCATGCAAACTAAAGAAGCAGTCCCACACAATCCCAGAGTCTAAACCCAGCCAACACCACACCAGGCATACCAATACCCCGGAACTAAAACACTTAAGGGGTTGAAAAACCACTTTCTAAACCCGAAACCCTCCTAAAACCCTTGTAGCACCCTGTCGTAGGGGATTCTAAGTGAAGTGAAAGAAATGCTGAATATACGCGCTCAATAACTGGAATGACGCTCCTTAGGGTTCCTTTAGGACAATTAGACCAAAATATGCCCCAAAACCCCCAGTGGCCCCTATACCCAGAGGCTCTAACACCCTTAATGAAGGATTCTCCCGTAAATTGTAGAGGTGTCCTTTTATGATTTAAGAATGCTCCTTAACTAGGCGGCCCCTAAAGCTAAGCTTGCTTGTTGAGATCACCGTCCCTGCCTGGTCCAGAGCTCACAGCGGCCCTGGCTGTATTCAACACCTCCGCAGGTCCAGGGCTTCAGGCTTTTTTTTGGTCTTTAACTGATTTCGAGTCTCGGATTCAAGGGAACCCAGGGTTTGGGGCTCAGGATTGGGGTTTAGGGTTCAGGGGTTGCGGTTTACAGTTTAGGGCGTAGGCTTTCGGGTTGGAGGATTGCGGCTGCTTTTGCAGAGCACTCCTTGCTGTTGCAAGTAAGCTTGGAATTCGGGGTCTCAGGTTTAGGGTTTAGGGTGGGTGCACTCAGGTGCTCGCAGCCCTCGAACGCACCTCTTTCAGGCGGGAACCGCACTACTTGAAGGACCATCGTAATCGAAGGAGCTGCCAGGGAGTAAAGTGTGATGATTCTTTATAGGTGTTTATAGCACTAAAATAGGACCCTGAATAGCTGATAAGCCCGAAGGAAAGCCTAAATCCCTTTACCACCTGAACCCTGGTAGGGGCCTCGACAACGAGGGAACTCCTTCACGCACCAAGCTTGACAGTCTTCCAGGCTCAACGATTGCACCACCTGGGTAGGGGCCCCCGCTTCTGAACCCCTGGCAGAAGGGGTTTGGGCAACTGTAAGTTTAAGGCTTCTAGGGCTGTCCGTCATGGGGCGGGTCCTAAACTGCAACTTTTACCCCCTGAAACTCGATGTTCTTAGTACTTTCCCACTCACAGTAGCAGGATTCGTAGAATCTCCATCTGCAGCTTCTCAAGTCAGCTGGCTAGGGCTCGGGGTTCGTGGGTAGGGCTTGGGTTCTACAGATCAGAAATCAACTTGTTCATCAGTTCATCCAACAGGGGCTTTGCAGGAACACACCCGATTGCTACCTTCAGTGATAAGCCGAAAAGTTGTACACCCCCCAAACCAACACCCTTACCACTTCCTAACCGTAAGCCCCAAAAAAACACCCCCCAAACCCTAAACCGTAACCCTCAATCCTTTACCCTAAAGCGTAAACCCTCAACCCTGAAATCTAAACCTGCTGATGGTCGAGTTCTGATTGATGTGCTTGGTGTCATTATGCCATTATACATCTCAAGGGGATGGCTACGAAAGGCCCTTTGAGCATGCTTCGTTGTATAGCAACAGCATAATGCCTGTATGGCATAGAAGCAGACTGCTCAACCTGTATAGAGATACTGATGGCTAAGCAGCGACGCACACTGTACACTTAGCGGTCGCTCAGTCAATACTTGAGTGTCGTTTGTCGGCGTAAAAAGAGTGACTACCTCAATTCGTGATGCCTGGAGCCATGGGTTTCATTTGAAGAAAACCGCTGGCTAGCATCGATGAGCTCTGAAGCTCAGCAGGTTATGAGCGCCCAAGCTGGAGCGCATCCGCTTGTGAATGGCACCGGGGAAGTGCCACTTCAGGGACCGGCTGAATCAACGGAGGCCCCTTCGTCGAGTATTCGCAGTGATGTAGCAGACCGAGCGCTTGGCGAGAATGTGAATCGGACAGCCCCAACCATGGCAGTGGGGCCTGTGTCT